TGGGGAAATGGTTGCAGTCATATTTTAGAGTGCCCTGTAAAACATAGCATAAAGTGATGGGAGCAGGTTCTTTGACACGAAGCACTTTTGTTGAAAATTATCTCACACATGGCAGAGACACAATATATTGAAAGTTCCATTTGAATCCTGAATTTTTCTCTTTCTTGTAGTGTTTTTTGCTTATGTTTTTAACGAATCCTAGTAAACCTTCCTGTTCATGTGTTTTTGGATACACCCATACCATAGATAAATATAATGATAAAGTCTATAATGATCAATTCAAAGCCTTTAACTTCACTTCCGAAGTATATTTAACTAATCAGCATGCATAAAACACATATTAAGTTGAATTTACTACATTAACAAACGGTAACAACTTCCATTTGTTACCGCAATAAATAAACACACTAAATACAGCCATGATCTTGTGTGCATATTTGTGTCTTTCTACAGCTGTAATACTTAATAGGATCAGAACTCTGTGTGTTAATAACAGCCCTTAAAAGAAGCAGGTGTGACTCAGTCAGTTAAGCATCTGACTTCAGCTCTGGTCATGATCTTAGGGTTCGTGGATTCAAGGCCCACATCAGGCTCTGTGCTGACAGCTCAGAGCCAGGAGCCTGCTTTGGATTCTGTGCCTCCCTCTCTTTCTCTGCCCCTCCCCTGATTGCTTTCTCTCTCTCTCAAAAATAAATAAACCTTAAAAAAAAAAAAAAAAAAAAAAAAAAAAAAAAAAGAACCAGGTGATTGTGTTCTCTCCTGGCAAAGATAAGCGAATATATATATATATCCATTCTCCTAAGGCATTTCCACATTCTCTAACTTGTTAATCTAGGGTCATTCTTAACTGTGTAAAAATAAGGGCCTTGCATAGACCAAATTGTTTTTAGGGATGCATATTTTGTACCCTCTAATTCAGAAATTGTCCAGGTATCCAAAGATTAGGCTTTTAAATACTCAATTTAATATGCCTTAAAATTCTTACAGTTATGTATAGGTTGTGAATTCAGTATTTAAGCTGACACACTGAGCTTTTGTGATTTGTATGCAACATTATGAACATTAACTTTTAAAAATATTATCTATTATGATTTAATTTAGTTCAGTGTGTAATTTACAGATGTGTAATTTTAAATAAAGTGATCTTAACTCTTCTAACCAGTAAACCTACTGGAAGAAATTTAATAAGTTCAAATTAATTAGGGTTTCTTTCTTTCTTTCTTTCTTTCTTTCTTTCTTTCTTTCTTTTTTTAGAAAATAAACCCTACCTATGACCCAGCAACAGCCCTGCTAGGAATTTACCCAAGGGATACAGGAGCAGTGCTGATGTACAGGGGCACTTGTATCCTAATGTTTATAGCAGCACTTTCAACAATAGCCAAATTATGGA